GTGAACAGAAAGCATGGGAAGTTGCACAAGCACCTTTTAAGAACTTGTTCATGATGGGCTTCATGATGTGGATGTCTGGAAGTACAGTTCATCTCTTTAGCATCGGCATAACTTTTTCAGCTCTTTGGCAGCCGATAAATGCTCTTCGAGGGGTTGGGAAAGGTGAGCGTTGTTTTCACGCCATATCTTTTTGTTTTATGGCCATTTTTATGCTTGAATTTGTAACTTTGTAGAGCCATGGCAGTGCAAGTTTATACTGTTTTCTTGCTTTTCCTCCCATTTTTTTATATTTGGGTACATGTTTGATTGTATATGTGAGTATTTTGATCAATGTAGTGCTTTAAGTGGCTGCTGTTACCTCTCTGACATGCTTGGGTGAAGACCTCTTTAGACTATCCAGTATTTGTTTATGTAATATGATTTACCTGCCATTTCTTTCAAGGAAGTTTATTTTCTTGCTGAGTTATGAGCTAACTGGTTCAATTTTGTATTTAGTTACATATTCTGCTGGCTTCCGATGCCATTTTTTCATCTTTGATTTGTAGTTTTCGAGCCTTACAAGGACAATAAAGTGGATCTCCTACTGCCAAAATTAGTCTTTATCGCTCTTAATTTGGTTGGTTTAGGATTGGGGGTCTGGAAGGTTGGTCTCTTTTTTAACTCTGTAAAATCCATTGTAATACTTAGCATAGAATGTAAAGCACTTCTAAAGCTTACGAAATTTTATTTGTTGTGGCAGCTTAATACATTGGGTCTTCTTCCAACTCATGTATCAGACTGGGTCTCATCCTTGCCTCCTGCTCAGGTTTGGCCGTTATCTTGTGTTGACTTGAATTTCATTTATTGTCAAACGAAGTCTCTGCATTTTTAGAGAGACCCATTCTGAGCATGCATATTTGAATCACTGTTGAGCGCAACTTATTTATAACACATATTGTTACTAAGCGAGTTCATGATAACTATAATGTTCAAGAATTGAAGTGTATCCATTCTGAAGAAATCAAGCTTCAATTTACAATCAAGTTTAACTACCCAAAGTTTCTTCTTGGGGACTTATATACAACTGGAATGGTGAGGCTGTGCTGTGATCATGGTTTTCAAGTAACACTAACAAATTTGAAGCTTTTGTTGCGTAATTTAGTGAAAAGTTCCACTGTTTTGAAGAGAAAATGAAGGGCGATAATGACTTAAGAGGAAAAAATTTCTTTTGCACCTGCTTCTTGTCTCTGTATGTGGTGAAAAATGAATCCTCTAATAGGCTAGAGTCAAGAAAGTCAGT